GTAATGATTTGTTTTGGATCCAGACATCAATTGAACATGGTTGTCGATTTCAAGAATAGTGACTTGAGGTGTTTCATGTGGAGTAGTATTTGGATAGGATCGCGCGTTGCAGCAAAGCTGTGGGGACACATGACCTTGCGGGTCAAATTTGTGTGTCCTATTTCTATGATGTGAGGCAGGGTCTCAGCCTTGTGTTGTGGCAGTACTGGTGAGTTTGAGGTACAACTCTCTCAGTTGAGTCATTTTCATGAATTGAGTATGTTCGGACCGTTTCTTATTGGTGCAAGCATTATGCAAGTTGTGTCTTAGGCATGTATTGATGTGTCATGTCACCAGAGTAGTGTGTTTGGTCAGAAGAGATCGTTGAAATCATTAATGAATGCAAATGGTTTCGATTTCAGTATGTGTGATGGGTAAATATCGAGGTTCGGTTCAAAAATTTGTTATGGTAATTGCCGGAGGAGAAATGGCCTCATGAATGGTTGATCTGAGCAATAATTATGGTTTATTGCGTGTTTCAATTACCGTTGGCAGTATATGAAAGTGTTGGAATGAGACCTTGGCTAATAAGAGATTTCTATTGGTATTTGGTTGTCGTGGGCAACTGCTGTGAATGGAAGTTATCGATGCATGTGTTTGAGTTATTGGTATATCATATAATTGCACCCGAGATTGCAGACATGGTCTAATACAGCTGGTTCAGACTTATTCTGAATATAGGTGTGAGGTTCTGATCTTGTGTATGATTCCGAAAAGTGAAATGAGGTTCTATGATTTATGGGCTAGACTGGATTGTGTGATTTTAGTTAAAACGTGTTATCGGACCCATGTGAGATAGGATGATGTGGGATCATCCCCGGGTTTATGCTCGATAAGGTCATTCAGCTTTCGGTTGGCTTCTAGGACAACTTTGGGTACGCTCGAGGACGAGCGTTTGTTTAAGTTGGGGAGAATGTGACAACCCAACCCGTTGTCACGTGAGTTACCGCCCCATTTCCCCCATTTTATGCTTCTTCATGTTTCGTTATCGGTATTCGGTGTGTTAGAGTTAAATCGGATTGGTTCTGATAAGAAATGGGACACTTAGTCTCTTTTAAGAAAGGCTTAAGTTGGAAAAAGTCAACCAGATGTTGACTTATGTGTTAGAGGGTTCGGATGTGAGTTTCGATGGTTCGGTTAGCTTCAGGAGGTGATTTGTGACTTAGAAGAGTGATCGGAAGTGGTTTTGGAGGTACGGTGTAGAATTAGGCTTGAATTGGCGAAGTTAGTATTTTGGCGAATTCCGGTTGATAGGTGAGATTTTGATCCGAGAGTCGGAATGGAATTCCGAGAGTTTCTGTAGCTTCGTTATGTCATTTTGGACTTGTCTGCAAAATTTGAGGTCATTCGGACGTGGTTTGGTTGGGTTTTTGATCAAAAATGGAATTTGGAAGTTCTTGAAATTCATAGACTTGAATTCGATGTGATTTGATGATTTTTGGTGTTAGTCGAGGTGTTTTGATGATTGGAACGAGGTTGAATAATGTTTAGGATGCGTTGGTGTTTTTGGTTGAGGTCCCGGGGGCCTCGGGTGTGTTTCGGGTGAGTTTTGAGCGAGTACGGACACCCCAGAACTTAGAAAATGGAGGGGGCAGCAGTTGTGGCGCGGACCGCGCTCTTTTTCGAGCTGGGTGCGCTGGCCTAGCGCTGACCGCGTCAAAGTGGCCGCGGCCGCGGTCACTCAAGCCTATCCCTGCAGAGCAAGGCCTGCGCGGCCGCGGACGTTTCTGCGCGGACCCCGCTGATTTTGCGCGGACCGCAGTCATTTTTGTGCGGTCAGTGGTGTCGGAATCCGACGGGTACCCTATAAATACGAGGTTTTGGGTTTTATTTGATATTTTGACCTAGAGAGATCGAATTTTGGCGATTTTTCGAAGGTTTTTCAAGAATTGGTCACGGTAAGTGATTCTAACTCAGGTTTGGTTAGCGTACATGAATCTATCACTGAATTCATCATTTAATTCGTGATTTGAGATGGAATTTGGGAAGAAAATTGTGGAACCTTTCAAATATGTAAAATGATGATTTGAAGGACCAAATGATATCAGAATTGGATAATTTTGGTATGGTTAGACTCATGAGGGTATGAGGATTATGAAAATGTAAATTTTACCCGATTTCGATACGTGGTCCCGAGGCTCGGGTTTTGCTAATTTCGAGATTTTTGATATTTTTCGAATGTTTTCGCTTGGGCTTTGTTCCCTTAGCATATTGTGACGTATTCGCTCTGATTTTGGATCGACGCGCGTGGAGGCCAATTCAAGGGGAAAAGGCGTCATGAGTTAGAGAATTAGCCAGTTCGAGGTGAGTAATTGATGTAACTGATGTACTGAGGGTTTGAAACCCCGGAATTTCACATCGTAACGCTATATTGAGGTGACTTGCACGCCGGATAACGGGCGTGGGGTAGAGCACCGTTGGGGATTGTGATTTGGTCCGTCCCGAGAGATATTTTACTATATTTTTGGTTGAGACATATACTTTATTATTGTGAATTGGGCTTGTTGCCATGCTTGGGGCCTTGTGCCGACCTGTAGAACCCTTAGGGGATTTTTGACTGGTTTTCCTCACTTATTTTGTTAAAGAATTTATATCCTCAGTCATGTTTCCAATTGTAGGCTTCTTACCAATTATTTGAATCCTTCAGGGATTGATATCACTGCTTTCGCATATTTTGCATATCATTTGACCTCAGTCCAAGGTTTTAAATACTGTTTTGCAAACTCAGCCATCTTTCTAAGATTTGAAAACTTAAATGATATTTCTAAATGATATTTCGGGCTGAGAACTACTGTTTTACAAATGTCCAAGGGGCTTATGATGATTTTTGGACTGAGCATGGATCGGGCTGCGCACCGCAGCAGTGTTATATTGATATTGAGGCCGAGAGCCTAGATTTGATGCCACGAAATGGCTTGATATTGCGCTTGGGTTGTAGGAGCCCCTCCGGAGTCTGCACACACCCCCAGTGAGCGCCGTCGATGATAAATAAAATGGATGGCTCGGGCTGCAGTGGGTACTAGAGTGTACCATCATATGCATGGCATTGCACTCATGCATAGAGTGTACCATTATATGCATTGCATTGCATTCATGCATTTGTTTTTATCTGTTATACCTGTCTCAGTATTTGGTACTCTGATTTAATTGACTTGTTGCTTCACTATTTGTTGTTCTAAACTGCCAGTTATAGTTTACTTTGTATTTTTCCACGATTTCTTATTCTCAGCCGTTATTTATGTTTATTACTCACTGGGTCGGATTACTCACATTACTCCCTGCACCTTGCGTGCAGATCCAGGTACACCATAGGCTGAGTGAGGATTTGTTTAGCTGAGCAGCAGTATCCGGGAGTATTGAGGTAGCTGCATGACGTTCGCAGCCTTGATCTCTCCCCTGTATCTCTATCTTTTATTCCGTATTTTTCCTAGACAGACTTGTAATAGGTGGATATTCTGTATTAGAGGCTCATATTCATGACACCGGATTCTATTGGGCTATGGTGTGGAATTTTAGTTGAATTTCCGCAGGATTTATTATTAATTATACACTTGAGAGTGATGACTTAGTAAATTCTCTGTGATATTTATCTATAATATGAATAAGAATTTGGGATGATGTTGTTGAATGGTCGGGCTTCCTAGCAGTGTGTTGGGCGTCATCATGACCGGGGTTGGGGTCGTGACATTGTGTTCCTTAATATGCCACCTATATGAAATGCCTAATGAGTCATCTAAAATAAAAAGGGGCTGCCACGTCGGGTGAGATGTTTAATCTTATCTCCTAACTTATTAATTAACTAGGTAATGACATGTTACCCGATAATTAACCAATTACCCATGTAATTAAAAATTATCTTAAATTACTTAAAATTATACTTATTTTTAATACACTTTATACACATTACTATAATATACTTTACTATCATGGTCATGTGGTACAATATAAAATCAATACATACACTATTATTTCATTAAAACATCCATGTAAAAATACATATATTTTCTTAACTTATAATTTTCCTAATCTCATATAACGAGTACAAATTTTTGTACACTTAATTCTTAAAATGGTAAAAAAGATATCCTTTTTTTCTTGTGAAAGAAAATAATTCATATCTTTACAATAAAGAAAATCTCATAAACTATATCATATTATGTGTACAATTTAAAGTATTTTCGGAAGTAATAATATTAATAACTATTTAAAATCATATTTTCAAAAATTTTACAAAAATGCTCCCCTCAAAATACCACATCAAACATATATATAATGATATCAAGGTTTTTTAAACTTATGGGGTGTAACATCATCATTCCGTGAGTTTTTAGTATTATGAAACATATTTACTAATAAAACATGGCAGTATAATTACCTTATTTGGTGAAGAGATCAGCTCTTAGCTTTTTTTAGGCGAATATACCACTAAGCTGGGAGCTTAGTGGTCTTTTTTATTGATAAAACAAAAGTAAAATTAATGTCTTATAATGTGAACAAAATATGAACTAGCTAAAACATGCACCAACTTACAGGCAATGTGCCATAAGTTGATAATAAAAAATAATCTAAGTGTAGAAATTAACTTTGCTCCATGCTTCATGTTCTCACTTTTCTTGTCCTCCCATGGTATTTGATGATGAAGATGCCACTCCTTGTGTAGCCTTACCATATTAACATTCTAGTTGAATGACTTGAGACCAACAATTGAGCTCTTGACAATTTTCATGTGTTCACCGGTGCATATCTCGTTGGAGTCACTACAACAAAAAAAAGCTTTTAGCAGCTATTATTTAGTGGCAATAAATTAATTGTCACTAATTTATTCCGTATAGGCCAATGTTAGTGGTAATTGAATATTTGCCAAGAATAAACACTTTTTACTGGCAATTAGAAGAAAATGCCACTAAAGCTTGCGTCTTTTACTAGCTCTAACAAGTCCAAGAGCGGGACTTTTTTTGGCAGTCCCCCCTCCCCCCCCCAAAATTATTTTTCATTTTTGAATTGCTTTTTTCATTGAAAACCTAAAGGAATGAAAAATGTAAATCAACTAAATCCCTAACGCCCAAAATTTATCTCTATTTTCTGGATCAATTACTCTGGTACTTCATCGACTTCATATTCTTTTTGTATTGACTGCAACTCGACAACGATATGTTATTTCTCCAATAAATTAATGAAGAACACCAAAGACATTGAGGCGTTGTTGCAGCTGCATAGATGTTGTTTTTTTCTTCTTCTTCATCGCCACTCGTTAATGGAATAGGAATCACTGGGCACGCCTTTTCTTTTGAAACTGAAGAAGCCAAAAGTTATGCCTTCGAGCTCAAGGTCCCTTCTAATCTCTTTGTTTTATGTACTTAGATAAATTGCAAATGCCTATTAAAGATTGTTTTCAAACAATTTTTCGCATTAGGTGCTTTGTGAATTATTATTAATTTTTAGGAGAATTTAATTTAATAGTCATGTTCTTTTGGTTGTTAAATTAATTCTCTCCGGAGAATAAAACTTACTCTCAGAATACTGTAGATCTGAAAAGAAAAGACAAATCTTGAGAACTGTCGCTAAAAGAAGTAGTAAGAAAGAAAGCTTCAAAATGTTAGTGGATTCAAAGAACTTTGGATACATAGTTGCTTCAAATAGTCTGAAAAGTTTGATTGTTGCTAACTACATATGCAGATAAAAGAAAGGAGAAAAGACAAATAAATTATTTTATTCTGATAAGTACCAAACAAATCGAATATGCAAACCATAAAGCCAGTGTTGAAACCTTAAGTAATAATTACTCTAGCCATGTGAATCGGGCTACATGTTTCAATTTGCTCTTTTTGTTAAATTATCTATTCAAATTACTCTCTTCAAAGAAGGGGTTATTGGGTTGTTTTATATGAATTCTTCATAGTAGGGGATAAAACAGATGAAAACTAAAAAGGCACCATATTTTTGCCTACAACTTATCAAGAGGGTTTTGGGTACATGTATTAGCATTATATTTAATTATTTATTACCCCTCTATAATATAAAAAAAAAATCGAAGTCATGTATGCACAAATTTACTTTGTTCTAATTGGATTTCTAGTATAATGTAGCTCTTAGGAGAGTTAAGGACCGAAGATAGTGAGAATTTTACTTTTGTGAACAGTTATATACCATTATGTCTCTTCTTGCACAAATAGATCAGAAACTATTACAAGATACTAGAGAAGCTATTTGTAGTGCAGTGCAAAAGCTAAGTATTAATCTTATTGTGCTAGGTTTTCGTGGAACTTGGAAACTTAAAAAAATTATTTTCTATCCATGATGCCGCTGCTGCCGCTGGTGGATAAGTTTCTGCTACTGAGCGATACTTAGTTCATCTTGAATGAGATTAGTTTTATTATAAATTGGTCTTCTTCTTCTCTTCAAGATTCTTATGTCTACATCATTAAGATGATGTTCAATAGAGAAAAATTAGTTTGTAATATCTAACTTGATATTAGCATAAAGTTTGGTGCAGATTTTCTTAAGGCCAGGTTGGAGTTAGGTTTGTACATTATAATATGCTTAAGATACTTATTTGTTCTACTTATTTCTTAATGTACTGACTAGGTACTCGAGGCAAATACTGTCCATGAACGAGCTACATAAACATCATGAATGCCATTTCAAAGTAAGATTCCTATTCCTTTTTCATATTTTTGAATGTGTGTTTCTTATTCCTGTTCTGCAACTTGCTATCTCTGCAATAACCTTGGTAGTTATGAAAATCTTGTTTTTAGTCATGTTGATAGTTCGTTAGAATAGCTATTAAATTCTTATTTTCAGTCATGTTGCTAGTATGTTGGTGAATGTTTTTAAAATTTTAATATGATTGGAGAGCTGATGTAATATGTTGGTGAATGTTTCCCTCTTCTGTTCTTTATCTACTTTCATTTACACTTCAATAATGCCTTCTTTTTTATTCTATTATTCATCTTCATCCTTCTTGAGTTCGATCAGTAGTGCAGAATTTAGTTTGTCTGACAATACCCTAGAGATGTGATAGAAAGTTTGGGTAATTAATTTTAAATAACTATTTCTCCCACGATCATATATTTGTACATGTGTATTCTTCAGAGTCATTCCTTATTGGATATTGTCACTTTATCTTCCAGCTTCTTGGATTCATTTACTCAGATTCATCGGTGTATGAATGGAATATATAAGAATTTATTTTATGATTCTAGTTATAAAGATTACGAGGATGCTCCTATACTCAAGGTGAGAAAGATCAAAAGTGCTAAAGTTGCTATTGCTTATCGTAGTTCGACTCTGCAAATATCAAGTACCAAAGCGGGAAGCAGAAAGACAGTGAAGATACTTCAGATAGACGACTCTGTGAGAACTCAAAGTTGTAGGCACAGACAACTTTGAACCTCATTCAAGTGGTAAAAAGAAAACATATGGGGAAGCTGACATTAAGTTATTTGAAGGCTTTAATCTGCTTCCAACTTTTTATGTATTCGGTTAGTGTTTGTGGTTCCAATGACTATCTTACTTTGCCTTGAAATTAAAAATAATTGTTATTGAAAATGTAGGTCATTTTTATATCATCCTTGAACAAGTTTTATACAATGGGTATCATCTTCTAACTCCCATGTGAACTTTTAAGTAGAACTTGTTTGAAGTACTCTTTAATTGCCCTAATAAAAATGAAAGCAAAACGTGTTTGTATCTGCACTTATCTAATAGTGTAATATCTTCTGAAAGATAATATTTCAGAAGGTCAAACAAGATGAAGTTGTGCAGAAATTATTAGTATTTGTTTACCAATATGCATAAAATATTTATACACCAAACAAACATCAAATGTTTCAGTAAATTAATAAAGTATGAAGGACCAAGTAATGACATCTATCTTATTGGTTGGACAACTAAAAAACATAAATTTTATATACTGTTAGCTTAGTCCAGATTCAGTTTGAATTGTAACCATTTCACATAGTTGCAGTGGAATGGCATCACGATGTGATCTTGTTAGTCTAAAGTACAAAAATAAGCAGTTCTATAAAAGATTAACTTGAAAGAACTAGTTGTCATATAGTATAGATTGTTGAGATCTTTAAAGATCGAACTTCTACTGTTAACTGGAATTTCTTTTGAGGTTCTTTATTTTCCCCTCCTTTGTGTTGGCTTAAAAGTCTACATGAAAAACATATAAGTGAATGAGGAACATAATGCTTTGACAGTTGACATTCACCAGACTCGTCAGTACATGCTTTGTTGCCAAATTCTAGAAGTTTCTCTCATAGTGCCTAAGGCTATTTTATGATAATCGATTTTGAAGTAGTTGTGCAATTATCACACTAGTCATATCTTACCACTACAACAAAAGTCATTTTTCTATCACACAAACTTGTAATTTTCTGTGTCATTTTGTGTTTGTATAGAATGGAATTTCATAGTTTTTATAATGAGATGTGGCCTATGATATTGTCATTTGTTGCTGAATTTCTTTTTACTACAAACAGGCAATGTTCCAAGAATTTTCAACTGGTAATATAGAAATCGATTAGGATTTTAGTGCAAAGCTCTCAAGGTATGGATGCATTACAAATATACAAGAGATAGAGATATTGTCACGACCCAAAATCAACTAAGGATCGTGATGGCGCCGGACACCATTGTCAGGCAAGCCAACACTAAATAACTAGTAATTTCTCGTTTTAGATATTGCTGAAATCGCTTCTGTTATACATTTAAACAATAAGGAATAAATTACACTGAATAAATAATAATGATATCTTTAACAATTTCAAAATACTGACTACTCCCATAGACATCCCAGAACCCGGTGTAACAATTGCATGAGCATTTACTAGGGAATGGAATAAAAATACACTAACTGTCCGGAATACAAGTGGACAGAAATAAAAATACAGTACAATACTTTGAAGGAGACTCTGCTGGCTACGATCGTCTCGGTAAATGCAACTCACCTAAGTCTCCGTACCAACCATGCTGCTATGCAACTAGCCATTCATAAACCTATGCAACAAAAATGCACAGCAAGTATAGTATGAGTACGAAAACAACGTGTACCCAATGAGTATCCCGTCTAATCTCGAAGAAGTAGAGACGAGAGGTCGATTTCGACACTTACCAGTGGTCCAACAATAATATACCAATAATATAATAAATCAAGGATTTTTATAACATGACTGTAACTCAATAGAGTGAAGCAAGTAAACCATTCTTTTATTCGTAGGAAATTTCGAAATTACTTTTCATCATTTATACAATTATTCTTAATCTAGAGAAGCAATATCCTCATTTATAAATATCAAGGCAAACAATACAAGCATGTGCAAATCATGCCGAGGTCGTACGGCCCGATCCAACATAAATGTAAAATGTGCACTGCCGAGGGTCGAACGATGCGAACCATAGATGCATCTATTTAATCTACCGAGGCGTTTGGCCCGTTCCAGAATTTAAACACACACAGAAAATCAATCCAGAAGTCATCAGGAAACAATTATCCAAAGAAAACCAGTTCTCTTTTAACAATTTAGAAAAAAGAAGTTTAATTCTTTTTAGAAATCCATTTACCAATTCGATAGGATTTAAGCAATCAACTATCAATAAGGTTACAGATGTTCCAAGTATAGCATGCTTTTGGGTCCTAGACTACCTGAAAAATAGCATAATAGTAGTTATGCACGGACTCTCATCACCTCGTGCGTACGTAGCCCCCACAAATAGGAGCACATAACCAATTATTTCACCTATGGGGACAATTCCCTCTTACAAGGTTAGAAAGGAGACTCACCTCGCTTCGAAGATCCATAACCGGCATTTCACGCTCTTCCGAAGACTCGAATCGATACACAATGCTTCAAAACTAGCCAATAATTATGCAAATCCATTAATATATGTTCCATTACTTATTACAATTCGATTTATAACAATTCCTAACCCCGATCAAAAAGTTAATAAAATTTCCCTCGGGCACAAGTGCCCGGATTCCTAAATTTTTCGAAGATAAACTTTACCCATAACCTCACGAACTCGAATATATTATTTACTCTCAATTTTATACCCAAAATCGTGGTCAAATTCCAAGAATATCGATTTTCTAGGTTTTCCCTCAAACCCCAAGTTTCTATAAATTTCATGCTCAGATCCGTACATAATCAATGTATTTAACTCAAGATTGGTGGGGATAGCTTACCTTATCTTGATGATGAAAATTCCCTCTTGAAACTCTCCAAGAATCGCCCAGGCCATGTGAAAAATTAGAGAAAATGGCCAAATCCCAATTTTTAAAACGCTCACTGGTTCCAGTCCTTTCGCACCTGCGGTCTATTGACCGCTTCTGTGGTCCCGCAGGTGTGGACCAATTGCCTCTTCTGCGGTCTACCCCCAAGCCTTCAATTTCTGCATCTGCGCTTCTCCTTCCCCAGGTGAGGTCCCGCATCTGCGGCAAAATGACCGCATCTGCGGTCCCAGCCTAGCCGTCCATTTCCGCTTCTGCGGCACGAAGGCCGCTTTTATGGCTCCGCACCTGCGGCCCTAGTTTCGCAGGTGCGGTTACACCAAAACTTCAGCCTTCTCCAAAATTCCATTTCCGATCCGTTAACTATCCTGAATCCACCCGAGGCCCCCGGGACCCCAACTAATCATATAACCTAGTCCCAAAACACAATACGGACTTGCTCGAGGCCTAAAATCATATCAAACAACGCTAAGATCATGAATAGACCTCCAATCCAAGCTTTATGAACTTTAGAACTTCAAACTTCTACTTTCGATGTTTAAACGTAGCAAATCACGTCCTATTGACCTCAAATTTTGCACACAAGTAATATTCGACATCACGGACCTACTACAACTTTTGGAAGCGAATTCCGACCCCGATATCAAAAAGTCCACTTCCGGTCAAACTTCTCAAAAACCTTCAAATTTCTATCTTTAGCCAAATTACTCGAAAACGACCCACGGACCTCCGAATTCAATTCCAATCATGCTCCCAACACCAGAATCACCATACAGAGCTATTCCCAGACTCAGAATCCCAAACACACATTAATAACACTGAAATCCACTTCAACCCAAACTTATGAAATTCTTTCAAAAATGCCAACTTCCACAATAGGTGCCGAAATATTCCCGGATCCTCCAAAACCCAATCTAGACATACGCCCAAGTTTGAAATCATCATACGAACCTGTTGGAACCTTCGAATCCCGATTCCAAGGTCGTTTACTCAAAAATCCTATCTTAGTCCATTCTTTCACCTTAAAGCTTCCGAGTTGAGAATTTTCTTTCCAAATCAACTCCGAACTTCCCGAAATTCAATTTTGACCATGCGTACAAGTCATAATGCCTGAAGTGAAGCTGCTCATAGCCTCAAATCACCGAAGAACGCGCTAAAGCTCAAAACGACCGGTCGGGTCGTTACATTCTCTCCCACTTAAATATACGTTCGTCCTCGGACGTGCTAAGAACTGCGCATGAGTTGTCCAAAATCACTGTTTAACACCTCATGCACCTACCCGTGCTACCACAACTCAGTTGAGCACATTAGCTCGATCAAATCTGAAGATATTCTCTTTCATTTAGGTAAATAAGCCTTAGAACCAAATTTCAACATCCGGAATTCTCTACCAGTCCTGCTTCCAACATACGAACACCGTATCAATCACCACACGAGGCACCCGTACATGATTGCATACCTTTGCTGAATCCACACTATGCATTGCATAACCCACATGACCATAAATATATCCTTTGATAATAACCGCCAAAATTCTACGAATCTGATGCTCACAACACACCTCATGACACATATAAGTCTTGTTCCAACTCTTGCAACACTACCACGATGGAAGAGGTGTGTAGAAACTTATAACCAACTACTGAGTCAACAAATCATTGGGTCTATACTCCTGACAAGGACCATCACCTCATTTTGAGCCAAGTAATGGTCTTTGCTCCTTAATATACTTCATATAATCAGGTTGCACTGATCCTAAATCCAATGATCTCGTCTCACCTAGTACGAACTACTCAGGCAATAAGCCACCCCAAACACGACCAAAAAATCTCACATGATGCCACGATGTGACAATAGGTTACAGACTTAAACGTGATACATAAGGAAATCAAATTCTGGAAAGGACTACTCAACTCACGCAACTAATATGAGCTTTTCTCAGAAAATGGGAAACAAAACACATAAAACAGATATAGGGAACTGTACTCAACATCACACTGTTGCGGCGCGCAACCCAATCTAAACAACATACCCATAGCGGCGTGCCACCCGATCCACACATAAAATTCACATAAGGAGATACACACACCGAGCTAGATTGCTCATTACAACAAAATACCGAATATCGGTCACAGGCACGCTAAGTGCATAATACCATCCCTAGGGAGACATATAGTGCCATAAGCTATAAAACTCAAGCACAACTGAGGTGCGATATACGATCTGAATCTCAAAAGCCATCCTGCTCATATAACATCATCTCTACGTGGAACCTCATCACATAAGAAATTCACCAAGCCGTCTCACAGCTCATACGACACTATAATATTATATGAAATAACCATCGATGAAACAACATCCAACGCCCGAATACTCC